TCATAACATTAAACTTGCCGCTATGCTCATCTTAAAGCAATGCTTCTGTGACATTAAGTGCATTCACAAGGTTATGCAGCCATCACTGCTCTAAGTTCCCGTAGTAGTTGCTCCAAATGGAAACTCCGTATCCATTAAGAAACCACTCCCTTGGATGTGAGGGCGATCTGGCTGCGACATCTGTCAGCCCATTGATCGCCAGGGTTGATTCGGCTGATCTGGCTGGCTAGGCAGGTGTCCCCCTCCTCCCTCACCGATCCATGTGCGTCCCTCCCGAAGCTGCGCGCTCGGTAGAAGAGGACGACCTTCCCGCCCCCCCCCCCCCCATGAGAAGACCGGGCTTCGGGCAACAAGGGTATACGAGTAGCTGCGCTCCCCTGCTAGAACCTCCAAACAAGCTCTCAAGAAACCACTCCCTATTCTCCCCACTCCCACCCCACCCAGTCCTTGGCAGTCACTGTGTTTTCTATCTATGAATGTGCTTATTCTGAAAATTTCATTTAAGTGGAATTATGCAATATGTGGCCTTTTGTGTCTGGCTTCTTTCACTTAGCATCTTTCCAAGGTTCATTCATGTTGTAGCATGTATTAATAACTTCCTTTCTATAGTTGGATAATATTCCATTTAATGGATGTACCACATTTTGTTTTTATCCACTTATCTGTAGATGGACATTTGGGTTGTTTCTACCTTTTGGCTATTGTGAACAATGATGCTATGAACGTTCATGCACAGGTATTGGTTTGAATACCTATTTTCAATGGAATTGTTGAGTCATATGGTAATTCTATGTTTAAATTATTATTGAGGAACCACTATTTCCCACAGTGGCTGCACCGTTTTGCATTCCTACCAGCTATGCACAAGTGTTCCATTTTCTCTGCATCCTCACCAACACTTCTTTCTGTTTGTGAGTGTGAATGCCTAGTGGTAGGAATTCTGGAACTGTCCCATGATGTCCCTCTTAGTGTAAATGTGATCACCTCTTTGATCTTCTCAATGATTGGAGTTTCATTCTTATCATGGTTAATCTTTAACAAAAACCTCAGGTTCTCTGCCCTTTTATTCTTGGTTGCCTTTCTCAGACCCCAAGTTCTCTCCTGTTCCAGCATGCTTGGAACTGTAGTCTTTCTGACGCTGCTCTGGGCTCAGAAAGTGGGGACCAGACAAACAAGTGAAGCCTAGACTTGAAGGCTTGACTTTGTCTACAGACCGGACATGCCCAGCCCCAAATCCCAGGACTGATTGGTAGGAGGCAGGTATTTATTTCAAACATAGGCAGCTGTCCTCCCTATCACCTCATAGCTCCATGCTCCCCAACTTCACCTGGGTGCCTCCCTGGCTGTATGCCCTTCAGCAAATTACTTCATCTCTTCTCTCAGTTCCAACTATACTTGTGGCTAATTAAAGTACCTACTTCAGAAGGTTGCTATGAAACAAGTTTATATATGCAAAGTGCTTAGAAGAGAATTAGCTAAAAGATGAAATGCTACCTACCTGGTGGTAGTGCAGGGTCATTGTCCTGGTGCTCAGCAAATCAGGTCCTGCCCATCTCTAGAATGAACATTTCGACACAGTGGGAGCCAGCATAGTTTATGGATACTGAAGGTCGGAAGGTTCTCGACTGACTTTAAGGATTAGGAGGAAATATGAGCCCCCTTGAGTTTGTGGCCATAGTAAGAGGCAGCTGGCCTTTGAGCAAAGCCCCAGAACGTGTTTCCAGCCTTTGCCCTCCCCTGGCTGTGGGTGCCCTGCACACCCTCCAAAGAGCCCCGTGCTGGCTGCTGACCACAGCTCCCTGGGTGTCCTAGGAAGCCTTTCACACCTTTTGATTGTCTAAAATTTTACTTTGACTTAATATTTTTGGTTATTTTCAAATCGGAACTAAATACAATTTCCAGAGTATCCACTCTTGTTTTGTTGCCGAGGAAGAGAAGTGGTAGGCCTTTCTTTATTTTAGGTTTTGTATTTAATATTTTATTTTTGGATACATTTACATGAAACTTTTATCAGCAAACATAAAGATGCACTTATGTTTTATCTACATGTAGTATGTCTACAGACACAAATACTATAGTTTTCCGGTAAGTAATTTACACCTTGCTATTATATCCTTTTCTGTCATGAAGATTAGTATGACTCTATACACCGCTCCGAATAAATGAATGCATCAGCATTTAGCCTTGAGGAGTTCAATGTAATTTTCATCGTGATAAATTGCATAATAAGCAAGAAAATGTTTGCTTATTAATCTGAAACAAGATTTAGATTGAAAATGGCCTTTTCCACCCATGACACACTTGGCACAGGCTGCAGGAGGACTGAGGGGAGAAAGGGGGTTATGGGAGCACCTCATGCTCACAGTCTCCTCTGCCGCCCCTGTGTACCTGCCTCACTGTGGACATGATTCCTGTGCTCAGCTGCCTGCTCGCGGCGGCAGTGTCCAGTTGGCTTCATTAAGAAGCGTTTGCTTTGTAAAATTTCAGTTGGTGTTTATTGACAAAGAAAGCACAGGCAGTGGTTTCCTCTTTCTTCCCATTCTTGTGAGTCGATGAGGGATGGGGTTTGGGGGAGGGGCCTGCTACCTGGTCTGGGGAGTGCATCTTATAGCAGTTTCCTTCTTCCTTCCTCTCCTGCATATGGACTCCTCTATCAGAGATGACTCCCGGGAGGTCTGCAAAAACTGTATATGGCTCAAGATGAATAGGGAGTTTTCCAGAATGATCAAATGCCTTTATTTTAGAAATGTGACTTTGAATTTTCCATCTTTGAAATCAAAATCTCACCAGTTATTTTCTAATGTTTTCAAATATTTTGCACAATTTTAAACTATGTTTATTAACTAGCGGCTAATGTGTGGGAGGAACAGTGTTAGATAGTATACGTACATTGTTGTAAAGTTTCAGACAACAAAGACCCTGTCTCCAAGGCACTTGGAGTCTTACAGGAAAGGTCAGACCTGCCTGGACACAGCACGGTATGAAGGGAGGACGAGAGGAAGGGGTCTGACGGTCAGAGCATGAGGAGATGGACAGCGGGTGATCAGAGAGTGCGCACAGAGAGCTTCATGTGGGTGCTTATGAGGAGAGGAGGGGAAGGACAAGGACGTGCCAGTGGACAGAGATGGGACAGCACAGGTGTGCCTGGAAGATGCCGAGTAGTGAAAGTAAATGTCCGCTCTTAACGAATTTTATCCATTTCTGACAGAACTTAAACTGTGGCATGCTTCTGTCTAAACTCTAGCATGATTTCCTTCCTAGTTACGTCTGGGGAATAGAATTAGGGTGAAAGGGAACACTGGTTTTGCCTTTTACTTTATAAAAAGAGTGTTAGTGAGTTTCTTCCTTGCTTTAGCACCTGCCACAAGTTCTGTGCTACACAGTCCACAAGTGTTCCCATTGAATAGAGGTAAGCTCAAGAAATAGGCATTATCATTCCCATTTCGCAGATGAGAAAAATAGGAATCTTCTCTCTTCTTGTCCACAGTAAAATGCTGGGGTTCAGACTCAGGTCTCACTGACTCTAAAAACCATGCTTTTACCAGGGTGCCACGTAGCATTCAAAATCTAATACCCACACCTTGGCTGGTGTGGCTCAGTTGGTTGGGCATTGTCCTGTGCACCAAAAGGTTGCTGGTTCGATTCCCAGTAGGGCACATGCTCAAGTTGTAGGTTCGATCCCCTGGTGGGGACATACAGGAGGCAGCCGATCAATGTTGTGCTCTCACAATGGTTTCTCTGTTCTCCCTTCCTCTCTCTCTAAAAATCAATAAACTGTTCTTAAACAACAAAAAAATCTAACACCCACAGAATTACAGACCAACCGAGTAGTAAATTAAAAGCAACCTAATAAAAGGATGTAGAGTGGTCAGCTCAGTGTACTTTTCAGATTTTTAAGGTATAGTTAATGAAATTATCTTCATTGAGAATTTTGTGCCTTCTAGAAGTTAAAAGCCTATTTAAAGATGAGATAAGCTTCTTGACTGCTTTGGCTATGTGTTATGCCAAATATTGCATAGCTAATGTATAAGAATAAATATTCTCATTTATTCATAACTATCAAGTGATTTACATGCAATACACATTTTAATAATGTCATAGAATTTTAGAGATAAAAATCTTCCTCAACAACATCTTACCCAGTACCCTCAATATGCTATTAATTAAAAATAAGGTTTAGAGAGATTAAGCAACTTGTCTGAGGCCACAATGGTACTCTAAGAGCTATGACGATGACCTGGGTCTCCCGACTCCCACTTTGCTGTGCCCATACCATATAATTATGCCACCCTTTCTATGGCAACTGACCCACTGGCAGAAGCAGATGGGAGGGATTTTTTTAAGTGAATGATTATGGGGCAGCTCATTCATGATGCACTGTTTAATTCAAAACGGAGGCTGCACTGCATCGAAAGCATAGGTTGAGTCACCCTAGCTAGCTGTGGGGAAAATAGAAAAATGTACTATTATATTTCTTACAAATATAATACTACAGTTATATATATATTAGTAGCTCGCTGCCGCTTGCCTCAGCTGGCCACCAAGCCCACCGCTGCCTGTAGCTCTCTGC